GGCATACTAGCAGCTTCTACCAGGCTTGGAGGGTTTTTTCCCTATGTTTAACTTCCATCAATTGATGCTTATTTATTTGTTGTACTATAATCTCATTAAGTATTCTTGCATAAGCTAAGGAAATGCTTGTGTTATTCATGATGATTGAAGGAGTTTCAGGTTTTAACTGCCCTGTGATTTAGTTTTGAACTTGGCAGAAATAAGCTCAAATTTAGAAATCAAGATATTTGTCTTTATTACATTATGATGTCCCAAAATGGCCTTTATGTAGATGACATAGATTCATAAATCTTCCACCTCATCTGTAATCATTGTTTTCTAAGAAATATATGTCCAATGATGTGCTTGGAAGACATTCTCTTTTTCTCAGTTTATTTTGAGTTATGATCTATTGGCTCTAGTTTCATTATCAAGTTTCTCCCCACTCCAACATTACAGAAATTTCAAACTCAGTTTGCTTACGTATTTTTCCAGAGTTTTTGCTCCAAATTCCAGTACTGAACTGTTTTGTTGGCAGGATAACTGGTATAAGTAGCAGCATGTCTCTTCCTATATGACACTCCATTTCAACCCTCAGAAATAGAAATGACAAGGACTTTAAAACCTTACTGTTTGTCTTGGCTTCTTTATACTTCTGGAGGTAAATATGGGTTGATAAGAACTATTACTTAACTTCACAATTCTCAATCCATGTAGAGTCCTGTCTTGGACCTACCGCTTCCTCTACATTTGCATCAGTTTCAGATTTACCCTGATCAACTTGTTTCAATGGTGATGATGAGAATGAAATGTGTAGTTATTATCAGTACCATTCTTGACTAAGCATATTCTCAGAAATATTTGAGAAAACTGAGAACATAACTATTGTTTTTGACATAATGTTTAAACAACTGTAGTTACCTGGGGGGATGGGGAACCATACCTATATGTAGCTATAATACTAACAGAGTAAAAAAAGAATTAAATGTATTCAACATCACTAAACTTTAGGGAAATGTGAATCAAAACCACAATTAAATACCATTTCACACCCATTTGGATGGCTATTATAAAAACAAAAATAGAACATAACAAGTGTTGGCCAGGATATGAAGAAATTGGAACCCTTTTGCACTGCTGGTTGGAATATTAAATGATGCAGCTGCTATAGAAAACAGTATGGTAATTCTTCAAAAAACTAAACATAGGATTATGATTTTTCTAGAATTCTTCTTTAGAACAAGAAAAGAAAAAAGAACTATCATTTGATCCAGTGATTCTACCTTGGAGTATATACCCTAAATAATTGAAAGCAGAGACTCAAATATTTGTACACCCATGTTCATAGCAGCATTATTCATGAAAGCCAAAAGGTGGAAACAATCCAAATGGCCATGGCTAGATGAATAGACAAACAAAATGTGGTATGTACATACAATGAAATATATTTTGCCTTTGAAAGGAAAAAAATTAGGCTATATGTGATATGGTCTAAAAGTATGTGTACCTCCAAATTTCATGAATTGAAATCCTAATCCCCAAGGTAATGGTATTAGGAGATGGGGCCTTTGTGAGGTGATGAGGTCATGAGTCTGGAGCCCACATGAATGGGGTTGGTGCCCTTTTAAAACGTAACCCAAGAGGACCCCTTGTTCCTTCTACCAGGTACAGCAAGTAGGTGCTGTCTATGAATTATGGGATAGGCCCTCACTAGACACAGAATCTACTGGTGTCAAGATCTTAGACTTCCCAGTTCTAGAACTGTGAGAAATATATTTCTGATGTTTACAAACTACCTAGTGTATGGCATTGTGCTATAGCAGCTCAAACAGATGAAGACAATATGCTGCAACATGGACGAACCTTAAAGATTTTGCTTGATGAAATAAGTCAAATATAAAAGGGCACTTATTTGTGATCCCATTTATATGCGGTATCTAGAGTAGTCGAATTCATTGAGACAGAAAGTAGAATGGTGGTTGCCAGGGGCTAGGGAGAGGGAGGCAAGAGAAGTTGTTGTTTAATGAGTACAGAGTTTCGGTTTTGCAAAATGAAAAACCTCCAGAGGTGGGTAGTGGTGATGGCTGTCCAATGATATAGATTTATTAACATCACTGAACTGTACACTTGAAATGGTAAATTTTCTGTTTTTTGTATGTGTCAGCATCAACAAATGAATTTGTTCAGGTGAGAGTACCAGTTAGCTGGGAATAATGCCATCACAGCAGCTCTTCCCAACCTTTTTGGCATCAGGGACTGGTTTCATGGAAGACAATTTTTCCATGGATGGGGGGTGGGGATGTGCAGTCAAACCTCACTGCTAATGTTAATCTGTATTTGCAGCCTCTTCTCGGTGCTAGCATCACTACCTCAGCTCCACCTCAGATCATCGGGCATTAGATTCTCATAAGGAGCACACAACCTAGATCCCTCGCATGCACAGTTTACAATAGGGTTTGTGCTTCAATGAGAATCTAATGCCGCCTTTGATCTGACAGAAGACAGAGTTCTGCTCATCAGCTGCTTACCTCCTGCTGTGTGGCCTGGTTCCTAGCAGGCCACTGACTGGTAGTGGTCCATAACCCAGAGATTGGGGACCCCTGTACATCATCAATTAAATACAACAGAGTGCTCAGAGTTTAACTTTCTCTTTTCTAACTCAACGAAAAGTGCACCATTTAGAAACTATGGAAGAAGACTACATAGCTGATATCTGATGAATGCACCTCTTTTGGGAATCTGGAAGGGAGCATATTCCTTCACCAGCTACAGGTTCCTTGCAGCAAACTCACATACTCTCCAAGCTTATCTTTTCCAGGTACTCTGTTTAATCACCCTACCCATACATTGATGCACAAATCTGTGTCTCCAACCCAGAAGCTCATTCTTAAATCCAACCCAGGTATCTAACTGTCTGTTGAGTATCTGCCCTCAGATGTCATCACTGAGACCTTAAATATATCAAATGCAAACCCTCTTCTCCTTCACTTCCTCCTACTCCCCATTGGCTTTCCTCTGGCCTTCCTATCTCAGTGATGAGTATCGCCATCTTACTCTCCAGCCAGCCATGCCCTAAGCCTAATCATTCTAGTTGAATTCTCCCTCTGCCTCACCACCCTCTTCCAGTAAATCACTCAGCCCACTGTGTCTCCCTCCTTCTTACCTCTCCATTGTGGCTGTCACTGCCATCGTTCAGGTTCTCTGCTTCCCTCTAAGCCACTCCCACAGTCCTTCCAGGGTAAACTGACTGCTCTTGGCAGCCACTGGACTAACATCTTTCATTGCCCCCTGTATGATAAAACCCATATTCTTTTTTGCGAGCAGCAAAGTCCTAACGATTCTGTACTGAGCTTGCTGCTGTTTGGGGGTACCTTGCACTTGTGGGCCACTGAGATCACTTCACAGATGCTCAGTAAATTACTGTTAAATCCACCGTCACCATCATCCACTTTCAGTTTGCTCCTGTCTCCGTTCCCGCCTCCTCTTCCAGTATCCTCCATCCGTGCCTTCACTGCGGCCACGCTTCACTTCTTGTGGTTTTCCTGGACAGGGTAAACTCTTCTTGTTCCCCTGTCTTTACACAGTCTAAATGACTTACTTGCTCAAGAACCCGGCATTGTCATGTGTGACCCTGAGCAAAGCACTTCATCTCACTAGGCTTCGTATTCCTCATCTGTAAACCAGCAAACGTCTGCCTCACAAAACTGGAGTGGGGATGAAATGAATTAGCGCGTGCAGAAGCAGCTTGCAAATCAAGCATGCTGTAAAATGTCATTGTGTGATTCATGAAAGCCTGTCTTAAATGCCACCGTCTCCAAGGAGCTCTGCTGACATCCTAAGCAGAAGCCCCATACGCACAGATGCAGGCCCTAATGGCTCCCTGTAAATGGCTTAGGGGATCTAAGTTCATCCCATGTTTACAACCAGATTGCAGATGCAGGCAGCATCCTTTCCTCCCAGTGGCTCCCCCTCCACCACTTTTGGTGTCTCGAGGCTCTAGAGTCTTTTTTTTTCTTAGTTGGAGTCTCACTCCGTCGCCCAGACTGGAGTGCAGTGGCCACTCCCGGCCACCACAGCCTCAACCTGCTGGGCTCCGGCGATCCTTCCGCCTCAGCCTTCCAAGTAGCCGGAACTACAGGCACGTGCTACCACGCTCAGCTAATTTTTTGATTATTGTAGAGATGTGGTCTCGCCAAGTTGCCCAGGTGGGTCTTGAACCTGCAGGCTCAGGCAATTCACTCACCTCAGCCTCCCAATGCGCGGGATTACAGGCTGAGCCACCGAGCCCGGCTTCTAGAGTCTTTTAAAGAGAAACAACTTCTGAGGTTTAAGGAGGTGCTTGAGGAGGGCTTCTGTTTAGGGCTCCCCATGGGACCAGAGCCAACACCTGGTGCTAAGCTGGACAGGTCACAGGCCTGCCCTACACCTCTCCTTTCACCCAGCCTGTGCCAGACATTGCCAACCAAGCATGGGCTCTGTCCGCTGAGCCTGGAGAGTTTTAGTGCCTTTCTCAACACAGCTTCAGGCAGCCATGACTAGCCAATCAACTTTAGCACAAGAGATGGCTATCATTTACCATCCACTGAGCTCAGAGATGCCCCAAGACGGCTGATCTAAAGTCACTATGGAGCAAGATGGAGGGCTGAGAAAGAGAAGGACATGTCAAAGCTGCCAAGTGAGTTGACTGTATCCAGGGGCATCAACCTGGATGCCACTCACTGCAGGCTATTGCCGGGGGTACATGCCCAGACTATGTTTATGCAAAGCCAGAGATCCCCTGAGGCATCCCCCTCAGGAGCCCTGAACCTGTCTGATGGAGGAGGGCACCTGAGGGTCTGGGTCTCTCATGAAGTTCCCCATCTCAATATCCTTTATGCCCAGTCACCCTTATCTTCAAGGTTCTCTTTCTCTCTCTAAAAATGACCCGGCCAGTGTCTGCCTCCTCTCCCCAACAAAGGGCTTATGTGTAATTAAAAGGGATTATGCTTGAAGGGGAAAAGTAGCCACTAATCACCACAAGAAGGACACAGCAGACTGAGCCGGAGCAGCCCTGAGACGGTCTATGTCCCCTGCTGCCCGGGGTCCTCGGCTCTGCCTGATCTCCTGGCCCCCGTGTGGTCCCCAGCATGGGTTTCGTGAGGCAGATACAGCTTCTGCTGTGGAAGAACTGGACCCTGCGGAAAAGGCAAAAGGTACCCCCTACTATGTGTGGCCCGGAAGTGAGGTGTGGAGGAGAGGAGCAGGCTGGAGGCGGTGGGCCGGGCGGGGCGTGTGTGCAACAGGCAGACGTGCTTCTCTGTCCTCAGCCAGACGGTCTTTGCCTGCCCTGCCCAGGACTCCACGGCCCGTCCCTCCCCCGCCCCTGGACTCTCTAGGGCATCCTCACCGGCAATGGGAAGGGCCCTCAGCCCTGCAAGCAGGGAAGCGAGGCCTCCGTGGAGCAGACCTCTGCCCCACCGCGCCTCACTTCCTTGATTCTGCGAGGTGCCTTGTTTTTCACATTTTCACGCTTTGGAAATCGAGATGCAGCTCGTGATCAAGTCACAGTTTAATGGGACACTTTTCTGGTCTTTCTTAATGGAGCATAAAAATGACAGCGCATCTTGCAATTGACTGCACTCCAGATTCAACATCACAGACGTTTCCTGAGCCCTGGCAGTGGGCAGACTGGGGGCCAGGTTAGACTAGGGACTCAAGGCAGAAGGCACGTTCTCCCCTGGGCCCGCTCCTGGGCTGGCTGGGAACATCCGAAGTATGTTTTGAGACTGAGAGCAATGTCAAGTCGCACAGGCCAAATATCCCGTGAGAAGTGCAGGCTAGAGTCATGGGGGACCGGGGCACCCCATGGCGGTTCATGTAAACAACAACTAGCCTCTGCATTCTTTCTGGGAAGGAGCAAGGAGTGACTACATGACCAGAAAGAAATAGTGTACTTTGCTACAGGCTTGAAGAGCCGTGCAAATGCCAAAGGAGCACAGGGGCTAGGATGGGGAAGAAGGAGGGGCAAGGTGCAGGCTGGGCTGAGACTGGAAGCCAAGGGCAGCAAGTCGCAGGGGAACTTGGGGAGAAGGAAAGACCATGGGTTCCATACCTTGACTTACATGCTTGCATCGTTGGGGCCTGGGTGTTCCCGGGTATTGGAAGGAATGTCAGGGAAGAAATGGGGCCAACTGGTGGAATGGTGACAGGCCCATGCATGTCACATTAGGGTCTGGTCAGAGAGAGTTTAAAATGGAAGGTGCTGGCTCAGAACGAAGATGGTGACCGAGAGAGCGGAAGCAAGGTGTCAGTAGGTAGCGACTGCAGAACACAGCTGCCACCCCAGGGCTGAGCCAAGGAGAAAAGAGGAATTGTTGGAACAAGAGACCTGTGGAGCTGAAGTGAGGACCTGTCGAGGGGGTAGGGAGGCTGCCGCTGGGCTCCTGAGCCTGGTCTCCAGCCCTTGTGGAGGGTCCCTGGCTGGCCAGTGGGTGTGGTGCCTGGGGACAGCAGCTCAGTAGCCAGCACAACGGAGAGCAGCAAGGGACACAACCCAGCCCTGTGATGGATGGCTGGAGAGCCCATGTGTGGCTGGGACAGGACGCGGGGCATCTGGAGGTGCAGCGAGTCAGAGCGTGCTTGCTGGAACACCACCATCCTCCGGCTGCTTCTGCTGTCCAGGCTGGGCTTAAGTGTGGTCCCAGGAGCCAGGTGCTGACAGTCACCAGAGACTCAGCCCCTTTCTTGCAGGAGTTTCCCTTCTTGAGTGAAAATCCCGATAAAACTTGAAGATTCGTTGCTACATTTATTTATGTATTCATTTGTTCCTTCAATTGCCAAGCACTGTGCCAGGTTCTTGGGTACACAGTGGCAGTGGGACATCCCAGTCCCTGCCTGCAAGTTGCTTGTGGTCTATGGATTGCCACGGAAAGCCCAGTGTGTCATTTCTCTCTTTTCCACAGGAGATTATGATTCTCAGTTCAACTTATTCCCAATGTGTTCTGTGTGACCCTCAAAAAATATACCTGAGAACCACAGTTGCTGGCCTACAATTACTCCATTCTTGTGGAAAGCACATGGCTGCCACAGAAAATAACCCACTTTTCTAAGACAGAGTCTGGCCCATGTGTTCTGCAATCCACTTCCTGTCTGTGACATTGGTGGGATTCCCTGGCTTAGGGACTCTACCTTGCCAGTGATGTGCCAGACTGGGAACCTTGGCTCAGGGTATCTCCCAGGGCTGGGCCTGGGCTGGGCTTGCATTGGCCGAAGGCCGTCCTGATGGCCTGGAAGTTGAGCTCTCGGTCTGCTGTGCCTCTAATTGTCTCCCCCCTGCTACTGCATCCAGGGAGCTTCCAGGATGTCTGGGCAAGATGGCAGCATCCTCCACAGCCCACCAGTAACTCTGAGAAGGTTCTGTGGCTCCTTCCTAAGCTTTGGTTCTTCTGGACACTTCTGACTCTGGAAAATGGTGTCTCTAAGAAAAGGGCAATGCATCCAACCCATAACTCAGTTCCTGAGTTTTTAATTCCTAAAACTCCCCCACGGCCTTGGGTATTTACCCCTATGAGTGGAGCAAGAGTAAAAGCAGACACCACACTTCCCCACTCCTCCTCCCACCCCAACCCCTAAGGGCACAGGATGAGGGTCTTTGGATGTCTGCTTCCCTTCCTCCTTCTGTCCTTCCTGTGCTAACGTTTGTCAAGTATTACTAAGTGCCTGGTGCAGTACTACTAGGGAGTGTATCACCTCATGTAACCTTTCCAACAATTCCATGAGAGAGAACTCTGTTATTCCATGGTACTGACGGGTAATTGAGGCTTCGGAGATGAGGTAGTAAACAGTGAGGCTGGACCTGGGATCCACACACAAGCCATGTGACTCCAGGACCGGCAGATGTGGCCTTTACACACCACTGCCCCCAGGGATCCAGCTCCATCTCACAGGCTGGTGGTGGGCAGAGCTTGATCCAGGACAGGATGGCCATATCATTTACCATCCGAACAGGGGTAGTTTTGAATGGGAAAGAGAACACTTAATGCCCTGGGACAATAAGTGCAAACTCACACTGGGCATGACAGAAGGGCCCTTGAATTTGCCCTTGGCCAAGGTCAGCTAGACACAAGCACAACTGTCATGGATCAGAGGCAGGTGGGAATGGGAGCTCACGTGTCATGACTGAGCAGTGTAATGTGGGTAACATGGCACAGACAGACATGCAGGGTGGGCAAGGATGTGGGGGGGCTCCCAGGAGACACGGGCTGGTTTGAGTGAGAGAAGACTCCCACGGGCTTCACGCCTACACCCAGCATTCCCCATAGTGTGCATAGTGTGCGATACCCATCCTCGTGGTGTCTGGACCAGGCCGGGCAGGGCATACACATCACCGGGCAGGTCTCGACCTGGAGCTCAGTGCAGGGACCCTTGGAGTCATCTCTGGTCCTGGGTCAGGACAGGAGGAGGAGGCCTGAGCACTCGTGAGCATCAGTGGCTTGTCATTTCCTGGCTCCAGATCCGGGCACCTGGTACAGCCGTGGCTTTTGTCCTAGGCCCAGCATCAGGTGACCGGAACGCGACAGTGCAGGGAGGCTGGGTAGCCAGCTCCAAGTGTCCCCAGCTCTGGCCATGTTGATCCAGGCTAAGAACCCTGTCTGAGTTCTCCCTGCAGAAGGGAGAGTCCGGTGACTGTTTCAAGCCTTGGCTTCCCTCTTTTAAATGGAAAACAGAGGGGAAGCAAGAAAGTCTTAACTGGCTAAGTTTTAGAACAACAAGCACAACTCTGCCCTTGCCAGAAATTCCGCCTGCCCCAAGTAGGGTGAATAGTAAAGAGAGGGGGGGGAGGGGGG